CCCCAAAACCCCAAAACCCCACGATATCAATAATTGCAATGATAAAGGATTAGAATTGAATTTTAAAATTTAAAATGTCATAAAAAAGCCTTGATGAAATCTATAATGCTCCAGCTGTAGCCCATGATAGCTAAGTGTCATTGAAATCTTCAAATGAGAACGAACCAGCCCCATCAAAAGTTTAATAGCTAATATCTGAGATTTTTCGTATCTGTCTATGTAGAAATGATGACTACAATCTAGTAATTTCTTCATTATCGAAGAAAAATCAGAAGAAAAAATCTGAAAACAAAGAAAAGTTGATAAAAGATCTCAGGAATAGAGAGGAGGATAGATAATCAAGAGAAGCTGATATAATTAAAGATCTGTAGCCTGTAAACAAAAATTATTAGTCAATTGATAAACACTTAAGGAAAATGATAAGAAAAACCCTTTTACTAACTCTCGATCCTATCCCACAATAGTAAAAGGAGTAAGTTTAGAGCGTTCTTTAAGAAAATTATCCTTCTTACTTGCATCTAGCATCAATCATGAATGAAAGAACATAAGATGAAAAAGATACTTTCGGCAAGGTCAAACTTAGTGAAATCAAAGTGGGACGTCACAATTCACAGTTCTTTACAGAGGAGAAGGTTGATGCGCTAATTGAAACATATATTACATGTCTCAAATTGCCATACGAATTGATCTTAAAAACTATCGACAGATCTAGAGATAGATTTATAAGAGAATTCGCTAAGTTTGAAGCATTTTTTGAATAGGCTAAGTTCTTTACAGAGGATGGAGTGAAAGATAGAAAAGAAAAAGTTAAGCTTAAGGTATTCATGAGTCAAGTTTATGGAGCTTAAAATATTTAGGAAAATAAAACAAAAGGTGCGATAGAAATGTATTAAAACATTCCACTCTAAGATTAAGCTCTAAGAATGCTCTAAGTTCATAATTCTAAGGTAGAGAAAATTCTCAAAGGATTCAGAACCTAATATGAGATAAGAAAAACTGGAGGCCAAGCAGATCCATCAGTCATGTCTAAGGATAATGACGATGAAGAGGATTCTAGCAGTGCAGATTAAATGTAATTGCCAAATTAAAAGCCAAAGAAATCTGGACTAAGCAAGATTAAGAAAAATGTAAAATCAAAGAAAGATGTTGGAGTCATCATATAAATGAAAGGATAGGATGGAAATTTGCAGACCTATGAGGAATCAAAAGATAAGTCAAGAAGTTCATCTCGATCTGAAAAGGAAAACAAGACTGAGATTAAGGATAAGAAAATCAAAAAGAAAACAACTTCTAAAGGAGTTATACAAAGTGAATAAACATTAGAAATGCTTAAAAATGTTCTTGGCTCTAAAAAATCTGTGAAAACAGCCAAAGAATCTTCTTCTAAAAATGATGTGTAGATTTATGATGACGAGAATGAAGATGGCAAAAATGTAGTATTAAAGCCTAAGCCAAAAACTGTGGATAAAAAGCCTGCCAAAAAAGTTGTAAAAAAGAAGCCATAGGATACCATGACAAAATTTATTGATAACTTTGGCGAATCTCCTCATCTTTAAGCAATAGAAGATAGCTATCTTAAGTTTTTAGAAGCTTAATATGCAAAAGAATCTCATTTGAGAGAAGTCAAGAAATTCCAGATTATGTATGCACTAAAAAAGATTTAGAGATTTTGGAAAGTTAAATACTAGCAAATTAGAAACTATTGTGCAATGAGAATATAGAGGACAGCTAGAAATTTTATCCAAAGCTTAAGAATAAGAGCCTTAAAGCTTTACAAGATCAGAAAAAGTCTTCTATTTTTAAAGCTTTAATCAGCTCTCATATTGTTTGCAAAGTATAATAGAGTAAAGAAATCTTAAATTAATAGCTAAGCATTAAAGTCTATAAATCAAAGTAAAATAATAAAAATTTAAGGTATGATCAGAACAAGAATAGCTAAAAAACGAGTTAAGTTTATGATATTGCTAAGAAAGCTGAGAATAAAACAATTTTTCATCAGGAATTTAAGAAGCTAAGGTTTAATCAACAGAGAAATAAGGGATAAAGAAACTTATTACGTCTAAAGATATGCTTTAGCAAAAGTAGAAATTGATTCGATAATGAAATATATTCAAAAGGCTGAAGATAAATTTGAATCAAATTGGCTTGACTATGAATCCTAGCTGGAAAAGTATCTGACTTAAAATAAGTAATATAAAGATTGGGCTTAAAAGAAGGATGATTGTGGTAATGTCTATTGGATAAACCTAAAGACTTTGAAGGAACAAAAAGAACATCCAGGAAAGACAATATTTTTTGCGAACAAAAAAATACTGAAGGCTAAGGCTGATGAGGAACTAAAAGAAAATTTTAGACCAATCTATGAGAGAAGAATTAGAATACTCGAAACTATATTTGACATTAAGAGTAAGATTCAAAATGAAAACCATCAGAGAAGAAGAGAAATACTATTTAGTGAATAAACTAATCAATGAATAATTAGATGCAATTAATAATTTTTAATCAGCTCTTATTTTAATTTATTAATGATATTATCTTCAAAGTAAGAGATTATTTAAGATTTGATCTTTAGACTTTGGTGGGTTTGATGAATTGTTGTTGTCTCTTTGATTACTGAAGTCTGTTATAGGAGGATTCATTGCTAGTTTCTTTAGGTTTCTCACTACTTCTATATCAATGAAGCTAAATATTGGCTTTTTAGCTATCTTTTCTATCTACTTAAAGTCCTTTGCTTTTACAGCATCATGCAATTCAACACATATCAAATATTCATCCTATCCATAAGCATTGCCCTAATAGTTATCGTTAAACTCTTGCAGAGTATTTTCTATTTTGTACCAGTCCTCTGCTATTATTTGAATGCACAATATTTCTAAATACGCTCTCCTCATTTAATGATCAATGCTGCCAGTCTATTTAAGATATTTTATAAATCGTTTTTTTGCTGCTATAGCTCTTTCGTACTTCTGCATCTTCATAAGAATCTAAACATAGTCGGTGACAACATCTGGATTCCAAACAAAGTTATCTCCTTCGAAGGCTTCCTCAAAAAGAGTCTCATAAATATCTAGAGCAAAATTTTGAGACTCAGGATCGTCAGATTCAATCAGTTTTTGTCCGAATTTTTTAAGAAAATTCGTACCTTAGTTAGCTGCACCCTGAATTTTAAAGAAATTCTGTGCCTGCTTTAACAGTTCAAAACTTTTTCTTTTGTCTTTCTCAAATAATGCAGCTTCTGCTAGACCCTCTGCTGCCCCATAGAATTCATTGATCTTTTCAGAACACTGTGAATACTTTAAGTAAGCTTGCATAGCCTTGTCTTTTTCACCTAACTATTTATAAGCTTTAGCTGCTTGTTAAAAGTACATAGCTCCCTCGGCAAAATCAGCTGACCATTTTAAAAGACCAGTTTTTATTGCCTTCTCGCCTTTCTTAAAAGCATCATCTGCTTCCTTTATTGGATTACTTAATGATTTCTACATTTTTAAAATTTATTAACAATTATTATACATCACCTATTTTTACTCAGAATATTGAAAGCGGGGTTTTGGGGTTTTGGGG